CCCCCCCCCCTCCAGCTCTTTCAAACCGTTTCTTTTCCACTCTTCGCCTTTGCTTTTCCAACTCTCCCTCTTCTCCTGCTCCGCTCATCCATCGACGCCCCTGGGGTTTGTGTATCCCTTATTCATAATCCCAATTCAATGCGCTTTGCGAGCTTTTAAGATTTTAGATCCTCTCTACTGCTGCCCTGTGAATTCCCAAACTGCTGAAGGTGGGGGCGGGAGTGGGGCACTCGAAAAATCTTATAGTCGTATTATCGTGGATGTATGGGGGTACATGTGTGTTTGGAGATTTCGAAATTTGGGAGGATTGTTTTTATGATTTTTGTTGGGTGCACGGAGAGAAAAATTCAATAAAAATTACCAGAAAAGAACGTTTAACGTACACGGAGAGAAATTTTTGATAAAAAATCTATAAAAGTGTATAAAAGTGTTGAAATGAGGAAGCGATGACTCATGATACACTTTTATAGAACGGTAGGATAATTTTTATCAAAAATTTCTCTCCGTGTAAGAACAATTACGTTTCGAAAATTGAAATTGTACGAATCGCCACGTAAATTCTACGATTTGTTCCGTAAAAATTAATGACCCGTTTGATGATTCACCGCTGTGGGGACAAGAAGTCGTTTCGGAATTTTTCCCCACACGGAGAGAAATGTTCAGTAAAAATTACGGAACTCACAGTTCGCTCACCTATTACGGAATCGACTCAGAAAATTAAAATGACGGTATCGTAATTTTTCACAGGAGATTCAGGTAAAAATTACGGAACACTCTGGAAAAATTCCGTGGTTTTAGGTAAAATCTTCGTGACAGTTCCGTAAAATTTCTCACAACCACATTTCGCTCCGGAATTACGGAAAAGATTCGTAATTTTTATTGAATATTTCTCTCCGTGCAACGATTGAGAAATTTTACGGAACGGAACGTAGAAATAACTCACCAGCTTTATAAAAATTGTTGAACGTTCAAGAATTTTTTATTTTGAAGGCATAATAAGTCAGGAAGTTTCTGTAAGATTTGACTTCTTCGGGGAAAA